TGAAATTTTCACGCCTTAGGTCTATAAATAGAACCCCTTGTAACGGCCTTGCGTTCTGACTGCGTCATTTGTACTCTCAAGGCTTCGCGGATCTTCAATCACGCGGTGGAGGGAGGGTCGGAGGTCATGCAACATTGACAGTAAAAGGCCGCTAATTCTTTGACCAAAGACAGAGTTGCTTGTTCGTGTTTTACATCCTGATGGTTGACTGTGTGAATGTTTCAAACACAATCTTTCGGTTATTTTTTTATTTATTTTACAAACAAATATTTTCCTTTTTTACAAGCTTTTCTGATTTAACATTCGTCAGACAAGGATTTCTAATTAGAGGTAAATAATGTGTAATTAAGATGTGTTATGAGAATTGTACCTGTAGCATAATATTGGTAGTAGGTCTATTAGGGTTGTGGGCCTAAAAGGAAATTTATTTTCTGCAACATTAATTAAAAATGCATTTGTTAAGTTAAATATAGTTTTTAAAAAATTTAAACTGTATTAACCTTTTTTTTCAATGACTTTTAAATGAGTTTAAAATAAAATTATTTTTAATTAATGAAAAAATGTTTTGAAGGTTGTATTTTTTTTAATTTATGGTAACAAAGTAACAAAACATGTTTTAAATATACAAAGGAATCAATAAATGATATTATTTTCAAGAAAAAAGGATTATTTGCGAACAAGTAGGCCTGCTTGTAGGCACTTAGTAAGAAACATTAAGATTTCAATTTGTTTCGAAATTCTTCCACCTAAATTCCCATTATTGGTTTAAAAAGCAACGGGAGAGGAAGTGAAAAGTCTGTGTTAATATTTCAATCATGTATTTTTTCCGCCTCAGACATGTAATAAACAGCGTCAGTTTGCCTTGCATGTTCGCTTTAGTAATACAGTTTTCATCATCGGCTTGTATCTTGTATACAACCAGTTATTAACATCGCCTAATACGCTGTCTAGGGCAGTGGTTCGTGACCTTTTTGAGAGGTACCGAACCCCATCAGTTTTATATGAGCATTCACCGAACCATTTCTCTAGTCCGCACTGACAAAATAAAATCGTATAACATATGTGTCGAGTGTGTGTTTAGACCTTCGAGAAACCCTTGAGACTGACTCATCAAAACCTCGGGTTCGGTTGAACACAGGTTAAGAAACATTTGTTTAGGGTAATGAAGTTATGTGTCTGTTTATTTAGGCAGAAATGTCTATATTTGCCTCCCATACATATTGATATAACCATTTTCTCCAATAGCGATACAACAGGCTAAGGTTTAAATACGAGCTCTTTCGTTAACATAAAGCCTAGCCATAAACTTAAGTGTAAGCCTAAATGGACGATAGCGGCAAAACATATAGTGATGGTTTTGATTAGGGTTGGTGCTAAAGTCATGATTCGGGCGAAGGTTAAGACCAGGGCCATTGATAGAATTAGGGTAAACGTAAGAATTCGTGCTAGGGTTAGAACTACATCTGAGTACAGTTAATAAATAGCCTTGCCGTTTTTCACAAAGGCTATAGGAAGGAGAATCGACTGGTATCTTACTTTTTCCAGGTGTTTTAGGTTTTTCTGCGAAGATCGGCTACCTGTAAGGTACAACAGTAGATAGCAGAATAGTAGGACAGCAAGACAGGAGGATAGCAGGACAGCAGGACAGTAGGACAGTAGGACATGTGACAGGTAAAAAGTGTAAAACACGCGAACAGATGAAACAGACAAGAACGGAAGTTGAATGACAAACAAACCGTAAGTTTATTTTGCTACATTTTTGTAAACGTCCGGAATTTTCGCCTTTAGAATGCACTAAACAAAAATATATTAGGCTTTATGTTCACTCAATCTGTTCTTTTGATGTAAACAGCAAGTCTAAAATAAATTAGCAATTAGGAATTCAAAGCGTATTAAACGCTGAATTGAAACTCTATTTAAATATGTAGGTCAAATCTATTTTTATCCTGGTAATTTTTGGACATCTTAGAACGCATGCCTTTTCAATGTATGTAAACATTGAAATTCCATAAAAGGTGTCTTGTCAATTTTTGGAAGGAAATAGCGTGTGTTTGGGAGGTGGGGGAGGGGGGGGGGGGTTAAGGTTACATTGCTTTGCGTAAAAAAATAACGGAGATGCTAATTACTAAATTCCTTAGCATATAAGTGCATCTTAAAATTAGGAGTGAAACAAAGACGTTTATTTTCGTTAGAATTATGGTTAATGTGTGCGGCAGAGGACAACAGAATAGGCCGGTGGAGTAGAAATAAGAGTAGAAATGTATGACATCAAGTTGGGAAAAAGTCTTGCTTTGTGTTATAACATTAAACATTTTATAGAGCATTTTTTTTAAATGTCTTCTCGAAATTGGTTATAATTAATCGATGGAAAGCCGAGAATAAAATTAATTATTCCGTTGACCTTTAGACGAACCTACCTCTAATACTACCTGAGATAAACATGTTGTTTAACTGTTAAGGTGGCGTATGTGTTCTTCTTAGTGACAGTCAATACATTCATTCAACTTACCTCGTCATAGATGTGAGCTGTTATATATAATATATATATATATATATATATATATATATATATATATATATATATATATATATATATATATATATATATATATATATATATATATATATATATATATATATATATATATATATATGGTTACATATTAATTTTATGTATTGTCGTTTAGGTCAAAGGTCAAATTTCCAAAAATGTTCGGGCTCACAGTTTCATACCATTTACTTACAATATACTTTCTAAGTGTCTGTATAACGGAAGGTACGTTTTTATTCTTGGTCATAATATTTTTTAAAAAAAAATTCATAAAAAACGTTTTAATAACAAGCTTTTATGTAATGATGCACTAAAAAGTAGAAAATAAATTATAGACTACTATTTAAATAACTATAAAGAAAAGCGTGGGTCACTTTAGTATCTATTGGATACCTTTACTAATGTTAAGGAAGACACCCACGCTTTTCTTTATAGTTATTTAAATAGTAGTCTATAATTTATTTTCTACTTTTTAGTGCATCATTACATAAAAGCTTGTTATTAAAACGTTTTTTATGAATTTTTTTTTCAGTACTTTACATGTTTTATCTACAAAAGAGTTACATGACTAAAAACCATTGCGCGCCTACTGAATATCACGTTCAGTAGGCGCGCAATGGTTTTTGAACGCAGCCATTACGTGGTCGTGATGGCGCAGCTATTGATGACGCGTGTGGTGTGGTTGGCTAGACATGCCTACTAATTCGGTCCAAATTTTAATTAATTCATAAAAAATCAATTAGGCATCCAATTAAGTCAAATTTAGTTTCAGATTGCATTGTCTTCATGTCTTGACCCACGTGCCAACTGTGAATCGTGTCGGTCAAGTAGAACTGTCCGAATTTTCACTCCTGCGTTTCCGTCTAGACAGACTGACGACTGACGACAGACTGACGAGGAAGTGAGTTAAATAAAAGCTTGTAAAAATATGAATTGTTATCATTGAGAAGTATAATCAACATATGTCCCCCCCGCCCCCCCTTCCCCCCTCCACCTCCCCTTCCCCCCCCCCCCCCGCCTCCCCTCCCCCTCCCGCCCCCCCCCCCCCCCCCTCATCGCTACGCTACTGCAGTGTCACTTATCGTCACAAAAAACAGACCCCACATTCAAAAATATGTTTTTTATCTTTTAAAAACACCGAAAACACCGATTTCGGACTATCCCTTCTTATACTGACGTCACAGGTGACCTACTCAACTCTACTTCACCTGCCCAGTGTCCCGCCAAGTCTCAGACAACATGTTTTTATCGTTTAAAAAACGATTCCAGCCGAACATGTCTCTGACCACACTATCCTTTCATATGCTTAGGACAAAGAAACAGATGAACTCTACTTCACCTGCCCTGTATCCTTCCAAGTTCAGATAGGCAACTTTATCATTCACATCTAAAAAAAAAAATGAAAAAAAAAATATCATTGACATATTGGTCTAGAACCTGTGCCACCCGCATGAGAGCCGGCTACACTACCATCTTAGCTATTTACTCGTTACGTCACAAGTGAATTTTTATACTATGCTTTGAGTCTCCTTATGCAACTTGATTTACGCGCATAGATCTAGAATCTAGGTCTAGTAGTAGTAGTAGTGACTTTCAAATTAAATTTTATCTTAAATTAGCCAAGCAAAGATTTATATAAAATAATTAAGACCTGAAATAGATTCTAGATGTATTAAGGCCTGAAATAGATTCTAGATGTAGAATTTACATTAAGTCTAGATCTAGAATTTACATTGAGTCTAGTGACCTAGATCTAGGCTAGATCTAGATCTAGGCTAGATTCATAACTTTCCTTCGACAGCTGATCTTTAGATCTAGAGAAATGTATTGTAAAACTAAATGAAAAAAGACAGTTGAAAATTGATATAAGTGTTGGAACGTAATAAATACAGCAAACGGACGTATTGTTAAAGTTAAAGCCGACAGAAAATTAGCTTTAGAACGCGTTAAACATTGGAATGGGAACACAATCTTCTTCGATAGGCCGCCATTATCGATGTAAAAAAATAAACACATCATGTGACGTCACTGTTTCCGTCGAGTCTAGTGGCTTTTCAAATCTTTTTAAAAAATTGTGGTTAGTATACCTATGAAAAAATCAATAAATTTTAACGTCTTTAAATAAATTTGTGATTAACAGTCTGTCTGCATTAAAAAAATTATTCTCTACCTACATACTATTTTACAGCTCTCCGGATAGAGTAGAACATATCACAATACTCGATCGGACAAACAAAAAAACAAACAAATAAATATTCAAACATGTAAACAAACTTGACTTTTAGTAGTATTAGATAATGCTGGCACATTTAGATTTGATTTTGTGTATTAAAATAACTTCTTTTTATGTCGATGTAATTGAAATTAATTTGTTTGCTTTTTTATCTATCATCAAAGCACGAAACGCCAAACCTAACTAGTTTAAAATGTACATCTTAACTTGTTTTAAATGGAATGTAAATACAAAAAGCTAACCCTAACTTGTTTCTATCACAACTAACAACAGTTAAATTTATTTTCTCTCGGCCGTACAAAAAGCATTGTAACATTTCTAGCATGTTTTGGTGTCTGTTGTTAACTACCAAGGTAAATCTATTCCAGCCCTGCCTTCAAATGCTGTCAGTTTTGAACAGGCACGCAGACTCTGTGCCAGGTTAGGCGATGGTCACGTGCATCCCGTGCTTGACTGCACCAGATTTATAAAGTGAGCATATACTTGTCTTTTAGTTGTCTCATCCTTCTTCTACCTCTACTGGGTCTGTCTTTCTTCTACCTTTATGTTTTATTTTGTGTCGATTATAATGGCTTATAGCAATATAAGACGGAATGCAAAAGTGGTCGGGTCGGTAAAGCTCATGGCTGCTAACCCGAGAAGTACAGAGTTCGAACCCCCGGGCAGATGAGGCTCGATAGACGTGTTCCGCAACTCCTTTCTAGGAAAAGACAACTCCAAACCACTGCTGCCTTGTAGTTTGTTCTTGGTTGGACAAATGCTATGGAAGCAAATCCAAAAAGAAAAGCAGGCTGAAATCGGAGTCAATGGCCTCGATGGCGCATAACAAGTTGACACGTAATTCTTAATTGTGTTGGAGGTAATCTCGAATTTACTAATTATTTCGTTTCGGTTAATAAATGACAAAAATTTTCTAGTTTTTCTCAAATGTGTAACGGTGGTACTTTTTATACCTTGGTTGCTGATTAAATTACTAGGCTTAATACTCGTACAGTCTAGTGCCTCCTCTAGAGCTGTAGTTAAGTTGTAATCAGAAGACTTTTTTCAATGTAGTACAACTAGTACAAGCTACCACTTTACAGATATAAACTTTGATCAGAGCTAATAGAGCGATTTCTCAATCTTTTAATTATTTTTTTTTTTACATTGGTTAAATAGTTTTAGTTCTTATAAGGCTGCACTTTACCCTTGAAAGCGTGTTGGATTTTTAAAAATAAGATCTATTTGTTTTTTTTAACGAACTTAATTAAATATATGTAGATTTAAAATCGCCGAAAGAGCAATACTGTATCGAATTAAGGTTTTGTGTCCGGTATTTGTGTATCAATAGAGGCAAGAATGTTTAGGGTTAGTGATTTAGCTGGAGCTAGTACTGAGTTTATGATCACTGCTGTTAATTATAAGAGTAAAAATCAGAATTGGTTAGCGACTACAGTTAAAAGTCATAATTAGTTTAACGGAAACACCAACACAATCATACTGATTCTGGCATAATGGTTACAGAACAATAGCCACAGTCATTGTAGTGTGATTTTATATGTATTAGGTGAAGTTCCTTGCATTTAGTTCCCCTAAGTTAGGTCCTTACATTTTAGTCCCTAATTAATATCATTTCACTAAGATGTTTGGCTTCTAAGTCATTCATTAAGAAGCGCGCACCATGTCTTAGAGGTCATCACGATTTTTTTGACGATTGTTACCCCCCTCCCCTCCGTCACACGTCGTCACAAAAAGCCAGACCCTCCCCTCTAAAATGACGTCACACCTCAGCCATCAAAATTGCTGTTGAATTTTTCTTAAAACATCGATATTTTCCAAAATCTTGTCAGAACTCTGTCAACATAGGGTATTTTGATCAATTCCTATTACAATTTATTAAAACAGTTTTCTGAAACGCGAAATAATGGCTGAAACTCGTTTCCTAACATTCTTTTATTATAAAGCGAAAAAAGTGACGTCACACCATCTGAACCTGCCCCCCTTCCCCATCATCACACACCGTCACAAAATTACGGACCCCCTACGAGTGTGACGTCATTTATGGACGACCCCTCATCTAAAAGTGTGGAGTAGAATATTCACACACATTCCCACCATTTCTCTCTACTTCTGCATCTCACGAAATTCCCAGGCCATTTCTACACAGCCCACACATTCCCACACAGCCCACACATTCCCACACAGCCCACACATTCCCACACAGCCCACACATTCCCACACATTCCCACACAGCCCACACAGCCCACACATTCCCACACAGCCCACACATTCCCACACAGCCCACACATTCCCACACAGCCCACACATTCCCACACAGCCCACACATTCCCACACATTCCCACACAGCCCACACAGCCCACACATTCCCACACAGCCCACACATTCCCACACAGCCCACACATTCCCACACAGCCCACACATTCCCACACAGCCCACACATTCCCACACAGCCCACACATTCCCACACAGCCCACACATTCCCACACAGCCCACACATTCCCACACAGCCCACACATTCCCACACAGCCCACACAGCCCACACATTCCCACACAGCCCACACATTCCCACACAGCCCACACATTCCCACACAGCCCACACAGCCCACACATTCCCACACAGCCCACACATTCCCACACAGCCCACACATTCCCACACAGCCCACACATTCCCACACAGCCCACACATTCCCACACAGCCCACACATTCCCACACATTCTCACACAGCCCACACATTCCCACACAGCCCACACATTCCCACACAGCCCACACATTCCCACACAGCCCACACATTCCCACACAGCCCACACATTCCCACACAGCCCACACATTCCCACACAGCCCACACATTCCCACACAGCCAACACATCAGGTAATTTGTTGATTCACTTCCCCTTTTTCCCCTGACACACCAGGTGTGTTCAAGGTCGAGCTGACCTACAAAGGTGTCCACGTGGTCTGTACTTTAACCCACTTTCAGCAGCATGTGACGCGTTGTCTATAAATAGATGCAGCGAGTATTCACGAGTAAGTAGTATTTGATATGTTAATTGTTATGTTGGTACATTATGCCTCAGTCGTGTGTTGTTTATGATTGTGTATCACGGTTAAGGCTAGTGTTTGGGTTATGGTTAGAGGTTATGTAATTTCGTAATTTCTTGTGTACGTATTGAAGTGGGGGGGGGGGGGGCCTGGGCTTTTGTTAAGACTAGTGCTATGATTACAATAAGGATCAGACTTTGTTAAGTCCATCTTCGTAATGTATTGTGTACGAGTAGGCCTACTTATAGATCTGTATGTATATGGTTATGGGTATACGCTTGTATGTATGCAATGTATCATTTAATAATAGATCGGAATTTAGGTCAACACCGTTTACGCACAGTGTTGATTGCATCGATTTTAGTTATGGCTTTATTTGTAACCAAGTACTAGATCTATTACATTTCAACAAAACAGACTTTTAGTGTTGCTTTTTTAAAAATTAATCCTAAAAAGGATGTGTAAAACATAAACAGTAAAGATTCATCTTTAAACCTATTGATCCAGCTGCCATATGAAGTAGAGTTTATATGGTTCTTGACCTCGGCATATAGGGAAATATTAGTCTAGTCTTATACATCTACGTTATGACATATGGGATTCAAACTCAATGTATTTAGACTTTCACTATTGCTCTCTATATAATATATGTATTTAAACTAGTATGATTACTACTATAAAGCCATTTTCTAATTGTAGATTGATTAGTTATCACATTTTATCTAATCCTCCACAAGGTCACTGATCATAAACCTAATCCAACAAAAAACGAAATCCAAGTTTCACCAAACTCTAAATTTGAGACTCTACAAAAGTCTTCAGGAAATGGAGGATCGAACCCACGTTCAGTTTCCGGAGTGCGGAATTACAGAAAAATAAACAATGAAAATAAACCTGTAAGAAATCCATACGTACAAACAAACAACAATGAAAACCGTAGAAACGGCAGGATAAAAAACGCCATTAAACAAGACAACTTGCGATACTCCGTATCTTCACACTGGAGTAACAACAACATCCCACAACAATTAACTTTTCAACCCGCTAAGAAGGTTCAACCCGCCAACCCGAACATACCCCCACGAAGGGAAAACCCCTCTGTCTTCCAATATGGGGAATCAGCTCAAGATAATCCTAACCTGAACTCAAAATCCGATAATCCTACAGTATTCCAATACGGGGAATCAGCTCAAGATAATCCTAACCTGAACTCTAAATCCGATACTTCAACAGTATTTCAATACGGGAGTTTAGCTCAAGATAATCCTAATCTGAACTCTAAATCCGATACTTCAACAGTATTTCAATACGGGAATTTAGCTCAAGATAATCGTAACCTTAACTCCAGGTCTGATAATCCCAAAATCCCACAACACATGAGATTAACTCAACACAAACCAAGCCTAATCTCCACCTTCGATAATCCGATCAGCTGGTCTGTTGAAACAAATAACGACGGAGAAAGACGCCGGATTCTGAACGTTCCGTCACGGAAACTTAAACCCAAATCTGACGAAAGAAACCAAACACCGAATGATAAACCAGTGAGATCCAACCCTAAAGGTAAAGGCCGAGCCTTGCAAGCCCCGACTGGGAGATTTAAACCTACTATACAACAACCTCATTTAAAACGTCAGCTGATTCCTCCCAATTCACCGGAAGTTGATCAAACTCTAATCAAAACAAAGAAATCGGACGATATCAGAAACTCAAAACCAGAACCACATAGACCATCTATTAGAACTCAGGAGTTCCAGAGAAAAAAATTCGAATCTATCAATCTTCGTCAACAAAACACAACACATTCTCGTCTTCAGAATCTTAAACATCAAAATCCCTTAGTTCACCAAAACAGAAATAAAAACACCTTCTCTGTCGTGGGGTACCCTGGAACGAAACCCATGGCAACCGCGGTTCCGAAGAGAAAAGGCACCAGCCGCCAGGGCAACAAAAAGCTGGTCTGCTACTACACCAACTGGTCCCAGTACCGGCACGGTGCCGGGAAGTTTTTACCTGAGGATATCGACCCCCACCTGTGCACCCACATTCACTACGCCTTTGCCAAGCTGAACGAGTCGAGCCAGTTGGCGCCGTATGAGTGGAATGATGAGAGTACACCTTGGAGTGTAGGCATGTATGTGTATTTCTTTATACTACATATATGTGGGGTGTGGGCTTGTATGTGTGTCTCATATGTTGCTTCATACTACGTATGTGTAGGGTGTGGGGATGTATATGTATCTCATATATTGCTTTATACTACATATATGTGGGGTGTGGGCATGTATGTGGGGTGTGGGGATGTATCTGTATCTCATATATTGCTTTATACTATATATATATGTGGGGTGTGGGTATGTATGTGTATTGCTTTATACTACTTGTATGTGGGGTGTGGGGATGTATGTGTATCTCATATATTACTTTATACTACATATATGTGGGGTGTAGGCATGTATGTGTATCTCATATATTGCTTTAAACTACATGTATGTGGGGTGTGGGTATGTATGTGTATCTCATATATTACTTTATACTATATGTATGTTGGGTGTGGGTATGTATGTGTATCTCATATATTACTTTATACTACATATATGTGGGGTGTGGGTATGTATGTGTATCTCATATATTACTTTATACTATATGTATGTGGGGTATGGGTATGTATGTGTATCTCATATATTACTTTATACTATATGTATGTGGGGTGTGGGTATGTATGTGTATCTCATATATTACTTTATACTATATGTATGTGGGGTGTGGGTATGTATGTGTATCTCATATATTACTTTATACTATATGTATGTGGGGTGTGGGTATGTATGTGTATCTCATATATTACTTTATACTTTATGTATGTGGGGTGTGGGTATGTATGTGTATCTTATATATTACTTTATACTATATGTATGTGGGGTGTGGGTATGTATGTGTATCTCATATATTACTTTATACTTTATGTATGTGGGGTGTGGGTATGTATGTGTATCTCATATATTACTTTATTATACATATATGTGGAGTGTGGGCATGTCAGATTATCGCATATATTACTTTATACTACCTATGTATGGAGTGTGGGTATGTAGGCTTCTCAAATCTATTTCGTTTCGTTATACTACATATATAGGTTTACCAAATTATGTATGCACAGCTCTGAACCTGTACTGTTATATAAATATTGCTTCTGTACCTTAGGCCCTATAAATAATTAAGGTGGTCTATCTTATTTGGGGATTCAATTTAGACAGGTGCTAAACTACTTAACTTGTTGAGAAGGATCAATGAGCGTAAATCTCCAAATCTATAAAGTTATCGTATATTGCATATATATATATATATATATATATATATATATATATATATATATATATATATATATATATATATATATATATATATATATATATATATATGTGTGTGTGTGTGTGTGTGTGTGTGTGTGTGTATGTTTGTGTTATATAAACCTATATTGACATTTGTTATCAATTACACTTAACGTAAATTTTAGTTGCCGGTTAAAAATATGTATTTATATAAGGAACCTTTCTTATACTGTTAAAACAGATGTCCTCCCCCCCCCCCCCCCCCTCAAACTTTCGATTTGCACCCCCCTTCCTCAAGTTTTTCTCTATATATTTTGCTATTTTTTGCCTTGGTGTCACCCCCCTAAATGGTGTCACCCGGTGCGGTCCGCACCCCCCCACCCTCCCCCTCGCTACGCCTCTGGCTATAAATGTCTAGAGAATACATACGTATCGCCTATATGTTCTACAGGTATGAAAGAGTGAACGACATCAAACAAAAGAACCCAGAAGTAAAAGTGTCATTGTCGCTGGGAGGTTGGACTTTGTCCTCGCCGCCATTTTCTATGATGGTGTCGTCTGCCGACAGAAGGGCGGCGTTCATTAAGGTCCTAATTAACGATAAGACGTTTCAAGTTAACTATAATACTTTGAAGATAAAGATAAAACTTTAGAAGTTAACAATAAGACGGTTGAAATTAAAGTACGACTTTTGAAGTTAAAAATAAGAAATTTGAAGTTAACAATTAGTCTGTTGAAGCTAGAAATAAGACATTTGAACTTAAACATAAAGTTTTTGAAGTTAAAAATAACAATTTTGAAGTTAAGGTCTAAGCCTTTTGATGTTAACAATAAGAGCTATGACTGTTGAAACTAAAAATGAGACATGTGAAGTTAAAAATAAGACTTTGGAAGTTAAAACTAAGACTTTTGAAGTTAAAAATAAGACTTCTGAAGCTAAAAAGAATACTTTTGAAGTTCTAACCCTTTAGGTGTTAACAATAAGAGCTATGACTGTTGAAGCTAAAAATGAGACATGTGAAGCTAAAAATAAGACTTTTGAAGTTAAAATTATGTCTTTTGAACTTAACTATAAAACATTGGCAGTCAACTATCAACTTTGCTAAGCTATGTTGAAACGTAAATGTTCAAGATAGATACAATAGAGATGACTTTTTAATATACCTTATAAATAGAAAACTTATGATTTTAACTAAAATGATGCCAAAATTAGTATGAAAAAAAAACGAATAAGCTAAGGATTTACGTAAAATTTAATGTTCATTTTAAAGCTAAAAAAACTAAAAAAAAATGTTTCATACAGTGACGTGTATTTCTTCAATAAGCTGTGTCGGTGTAACATTAATTCAAGTGGGTAAACGGATTAACAAATGGCTTTAACCCCCCGCCCCCCTCCACTCGTTACTCACACGCGTTACTCCCGACTTCCGGATACTCTTTACTTTCAGTCCGCCGTCGACTACTTGAGAAAGTGGAAGTTTGATGGCCTTGACCTTGACTGGGAGTACCCGGCTGACCGTGGCAGTCCCCCAGAGGACAAGCAGCGGTTCACGCTCCTGGTGAAGGTGAGTACACCAAACTACCATCAACCCACACACGTGAGTACACCAAAATACCATCAACACACACAAGTGAGTACACCAAAACACCATCAACACACACAAGTGAGTACACCAAAATACCATCAACCCACACAAGTGAGTACACCAAAATACCATCCAAACACGTGAGTACACCAAAATACCATCAACACACACAAGTGAGTACACCAAAATACCATCCAAACACGTGAGTACACCAAAATACCATCAACACACACAAGTGAGTACACCAAAATACCATCAACACACACAAGTGAGTACACCAAAACACCATCAACCCACACAAGTGAGTACACCAAAATACCATCAACCCACAGAAGTGAGTACACCAAAATACCATCAACACACACAAGTTAGTACACCAAAATACCATCAACACACACAAGTGAGTACACCAAAATACCATCAACACACGTGAGTACACCAAAATACCATCAACACACACAAGTTAGTACACCAAAATACCATCAACACACACAAGTGAGTACACCAAAATACCATCAATACACACAAGTAAGTACACCAAAATACCATCAACACACACAAGTGAGTACACCAAAATACCATCAACCCACACAAGTGAGTACACCAAAATACCATCAACCCACAGAAGTGAGTACACCAAAACACCATCAACCCACACACGTGAGTACACCAAAATACCATCCAAACACGTGAGTACACCAAAATACCATCCAAACACGTGAGTACACCAAAATACCATCAACCCACACGAGTGAGTACACCAAAATACCATCAACCCACACAAGTGAGTACACCAAAATACCATCAACCCACACAAGTGAGTACACCAAAATACCATCAACACAAGTGAGTACACCAAAATACCATCAACACACACACGTGAGTACATCAAAATACCATCAACCCACACAAGTGAGTACACCAAAATACCATCAACACACACAAGTGAGTACACCAAAATACCATCAACCCACACAAGTGAGTACACCAAAATACCATCAACCCACACAAGTAAGTACACCAAAATACCATCAACCCACACAAGTGAGTACACCAAAATACCATCAACCCCTCACAAGTGAGTACACCAAAATACCATCAACCCACACAAATGAGTACACCAAAATACCATCAACACACACAAGTGAGAACACCAACATACCATCAACCCACACAAGTAAGTACACCAAAATACCATCAACCCACACAAGTGAGTACACCAAAATACCATCAACACACACAAGTGAGTACACCAAAATACCATCAACCCACACAAGTGAGTCCCCCAAAATACCATCAACCCACACACGTGAGTACACCAAAATACCCTCAACCCACACAAGTGAGTACACCAAAATACCATCAACACACACAAGTGAGTACACCAAAATACCATCAACCCACACACGTGAGTACACCAAAATACCATCAACCCACACACGTGAGTACACCAAAATACCATCATCCCACACAAGTGAGTACACCAAAATACCATCATCCCACACAAGTGAGTACACCAAAACACCATCAACCCACACAAGTGAGTACACCAAAACACCATCAACCCACACAAGTGAGTACACCAAAATACCATCAACACACACAAGTGAGTACACCAAAATACCATCAACTCACGTGAGTACACCAAAATACCATCAACACACACAAGTAAGTACACCAAAATACCATCAACACACACAAGTGAGTACACCAAAATACCATCAACCCACGTGAGTACACCAAAATACCATCAACCCACACAAGTGAGTACACCAAAACACCATCAACCCACACAAGTGAGTACACCAAAATACCATCAACCCACACAAGTGAGTACACCGAAATACCATCAACCCACACACAAGTGAGTACACCAAAATACCCTCAACCCACACAAGTGAGTACACCAAAATACCATCAACACACACTAGTGAGTACACCAAAACACCATCAACCCACACAAGTGAGTACACCAAAACACCATCAACACACGTGAGTACACCAAAATACCATCAACACACACAAGTGAGTACACCAAAATACCATCAACACACGTGAGTACACCAAAATACCATCAACACACACAAGTAAGTACACCAAAATACCATCAACACACACAAGTGAGTACACCAAAATACCATCAACCCACACAAGTGAGTACACCAAAACACCATCAACCCACACAAGTGAGTACACCAAAATACCATCAACCCACACAAGTGAGTACACCGAAATACCATCAACCCACACACAAGTGAGTACACCAAAATACCATCAACCCACACAAGTGAGTACACCAAAATACCATCAACACACACTAGTGAGTACACCGAAATACCATCAACCCACACAAGTGAGTACACCAAAATACCATCAACACACACTAGTGAGTACACCAAAATACCATCAACACACACTAGTGAGTACACCAAAACACCATCAACCCACACACAAGTGAGTACACCAAAATACCATCAACACACACTAGTGAGTACACCAAAATACCATCAACACACACTAGTGAGTACACCAAAACACCATCAACCCACACACAAGTGAGTACACCAAAATACCATCAACCCACACACGTTAGAGTTACATATAGTAACCAAAGCACGTACCGATTGGGAACAAGTAGCGTCGTGATGTAGGTTTTAGTTAGAGCTAGACTACAAGATCTTTATGTTGGAGAATAGGGCTGGTAAGTAGGTCACCAACCAGTTCTATGGCTCATGCAGGTTTTTATTGAGCCGTAAAATTGTTTGGTGACCTACTTAGCAGCCCTATTGGTGTGTACAGTCTACTTTAGAGTTGTCCACAGCAACCAAAGTACGTACTGATTTGGCACAAGGGATGTGATGATGTAGGTTTTAGTTAGAGCTAGATTACAACATTTTTAGGTTGGGGGGATTGATGCTTACAGTCTACTTCAGAGTTGTCCATAGTAACCTAAGTACGTGCCGAATGCAGACCGGACTTATCATGATGTAGGTTTTATAAAGAGCTAGACCAGAAGATCTTTAGTTTGGAGGATTGATGTATACATCGGTGTTGCTTTCAGAATTTATTCTCCCGGGGGGGGGGGGGGGGGGGGGGAGGGGTAGGACTGAATTATCCGGGTGGTGCGGACGCTTGTTAAAGTATACGAGCCGACCCGCGGCATATCATACGCCGCTAGTTAGTTGTTGTTTTTTCTACTTTTCAGTAATTCATAATTTGTGAATTCGATAGTACCAACGCTGACACTGAAAATATTTATATATATAATATATAATATATATATATATATAAGTAGCTCGTTAAGGACGATAACCCCCCCCCCCCCCCCAAGCCCCTCCTTTCCCCCCGCCCCTCCTTCCCCCCCCCCCCCCTCCGTTAAAGTAAACTCCACTTAGTTACTCCCCCCTCCCCCCTACGTTTAAAATCGTTTTAAACTAAATTATCTGCCCCTAATAGTCGTCACTAAACCCGGCTCTGCTTTTAACATTTAGCGTGAACCACAGCTCACCAGACCATGTAGGGGTGGGGGTGGTAGGGAACGCGCTTACAGCTTGTTTTCTAGCGTCTCTCAGAAGAGAATTATATATATAGATATTTTCTATATCAAGTCCATTTTGGGGGATGGGGGGTGTGGGGATGGTGGGGGTGGGGGTGGTAGACGAAGAGATGCCTGGAAGAAACCTTGGTGTACAATCTACTTCAGAGTTGTCCACTGTAACCGAATACCGACTGGAGATAGGGGGGCGCCAAGAAGTTAAGTTTTACTTTAGAGCTAGACCAGATCTTTATGTTGTGAGATGTGTGTGTACCAGTGGCGTAGGCAGGGGGGGTTATGCGGGGTCATAACCCCCCCATAGACCCCTCGGTATATATATAAAAGTATGAGGGGTGTGCAAATCGAAAGTTTGAAGGGGGATGCAAATCGAAAGTTTGAGGGGGGGTGCAAATCGAAAGTTTGAGGGGGGGGGGGTGCAAATCGAAAGTTTGTCCCCGGGTAAAAATTGGAACCCCCCTTGAGACGATCCTGACTACGCCACTGGTGTGTACAGTCTACTGTAGCATAGGCACAACGTCTGTAGATGAGGTTACAATATCATTGGTGGAGCACTACACATAACACCTTATATATTGTCTCATGGTATATTGACTTAATGCATGGTTCGTGTGATTAAATTGTATTCATTTGAAAACGGATACAATTTTAATATGAAGTGGTAGGCAGTGTTTCTTTCAGATTTTTTTCTCCCTGGGGAGGGGCGGTTGCACTTTAAATTTTCGGGGGTACCGACTAAATTTTCCGAGGAAGGGGGGAAGGACACTGGTAAAAATATACATTTTCTATATCAATTAGATTTTGTTCGTGGGGGGGGGGGGGGTAGACTTTCTTCTGACCCCCCCCCCCCCCTCCCGGAAAGTTGTCTGAAAGAAACTCTGGTTGTAGGGGCAGTCCAATCAGAGAAGGGTGTAAAGTCAGGATCTCTAGGCGAACTCGTTACTGAGGGGTACAATGTGCCCGCTCTATCGTTAGCTTGAATGCTACGTCAGAAATATTTCTAGTTTTGGATCGTCGTTAAAAAGTATTCTATAATGGATTCAATAATGTAATTATCTGTTTGTTTACCTTCAGGAAATCATGGCAGCTTTTGTTGACGAAAATAGAAAAACGGGAAAGCCCAGACTCCTACTTTCAGCGGCGGTGGCGGCGGGAAAACCCACAATAGATGACGCTTATGAGATCCCAGCAATCTCGCAGTGAGTTTCGTTTTCGCCAGCTCACAACAAACCTACTACTAGTAAATCTATCTCATTTTGAATTCAATACTCACTATAGGGCTGGTAAGTAGGTCACCAACCAGTTCTATGGCTCATGCAGTTTTTATTGAGCCGTAGAACTGGTTGGTGACCTACTTACCAGCCCTATATGGGTATCAGTATAAATGAGAGTGAACTCAAATTTCTGCGGCCCTGTCACATAATCAAAACATCCGGCCACTGAGCTGAAGTAACAAGCAGTAAGGTTGTTATTTCAATTATTTTAACCGCATTAGCAGGACGGCGTGGTCGAGCGGTAAATCGCATGGTTGCTACCCTGAAAAAGATGAGTTCGATTCATGGGCTCGAGTTCTCAATTTAAGTGAAGGAACGTAAACAACACCCAATCAGCATGTATATCTCCAGTTGATCTTGACAATATATAACTAAAGCAATGTAGCTCCGTTTTAATATACAATGTATATTTTATATAAAAATAAAAGAAATAAAAAAAAAACATTTTATATTGTAAGCTTTCATACGCTGTTAGGTTAGGTTTGCCTTTTGCCCCTCCTGGGATAGGCCGCTGACAAATGCTTTCCAGGCGTCTCTGTCATGCGCTAGTCTCCCCAACTGTCCCCATGTGTATCCAATATCTACCGCAGAATATTTGACTACTTCTGCTCATATAAAACTAATGGCATATGTTGTAAGCCTAACTTTGTAGACAGCATGATATATTATTATCTCTGCAGATATAAAACTGCTACCATATGTTGCTTGTATAAGCACATAGCTCTACCACAGGATATTTGACTATATCTGACATATAAATATAATGCCATATGTTGTATGTATATGCATGCCCTTCTACCAGGTAATAGTTGACTACATCTGACATAATACTAACACCATATGTTGCTTGTATGTAGAGGTCTCTCTACCACAGAATATTTGATTAACTATGCACATACAAAACTAATGACATATGTTACTTGTATATGCGTCTCTCTACCACAGAATATTTGACTACATCGGACATAAAACACCATATGTTGCTTGTATGTGCACAGAGTATTTGACTACCTCTGACTTAAAACTAAAGCCTTTGTTGCTTGTATATGTATGTCTCTCTACCACAAAGTATTTGACTACATCTGACTTAAAACTAAAGCCTTTGTTACTTGTATATGCATGTCTCTCTACCACAGAATATTTGACTACATCTCACATAAAACTAACACCATATGTTGCTTGTATGTGCACAGAGCATTTGACTACATCTCACATAAAACACCATATGTTGCTTGTATATGCACAGAGTATTTGACTACATCTCACATAAAACACCATATATTGCTTGTATGTGCACAGAGTATTTGACTACATCTGCCTCATGAGCTACGACTTCTACGGTGCCTGGGACTCTGTGACTGGCCACGTGAGTCCCCTGTACCCACCACAGAACCCCCAGGACGAGAGGGACAGGACCTACAACTTGGTAAACCTAAACCTATTATTTACGTTGGTTGTGTCCCCTTGATCGCTTGACACATTCTTATCTACCGTGATGCGTCCACGACATTCCATTTTGAAATGTGCGTTACTTTTATTAAAGTAAGAACTATTTTAAAGTTCTTTGTAATTATAATAGATATACACTCGTTAATTATTGGACAGCGAGGATGTTATAGTTGTATACATGCATTGCTCAAACTGAGAACAATGTACATTATGGTTCCTTTTCCCTTAAGACACAATGGACGCGCGTTCAGAGATTTCCTTTCTGGAGCGTGTACCTTGGCGTCAGGTGAAGAGATCGTGAGTTGTCCATACGTCATTGTCCATTTGTTTCTTGCCGGCTTAGACAACAGTCACATACTTAACCATAATTATAACCCTAAATCTAGCCAAAGGTGTTTTGGAAAACGAATTATAATAAACCGGTAGTGATATCCCCTAAACTTTCTCGAATATTCTTATATAAAACAACAGGGGATGGTAACTGGGGATATAGTTATGATCTTTAATCCATTTTAAATACTGAAACTTTTAAAAATAGAATAGAATCTCAGTAAAAAACAATTGCGCACCAAGCGAACGCCTAATAAAGGTGTGTATAATAGTGCGCAATAGTTTTAGTACTTTATAAATTTACATTAGTTTTTTGAGAAATCGGAAGTAGCGTAAAGTACTACTTCCGGTCAACGGAAATTACTCAAAATTTAACAGAAGGTAGAGAATTAGATCTTTTACTTACATGTGAAATTTCATTTATCTATCTGAAATAGTACTCAAGTTATAGGCTTTTGAAAAATTCAAAGTAGAAAAAGTACCACTTCCGGTTATCCGAAATCGCTCAAAAGTTGATACGGATCTACGATTTTGATATAATACTTGTATATGAAATTTCATCAACCTAGCTGTAACGGTACTCAAGTTATCGTGTTTACACACGGACACACACACACACACACACACACACACACACACGGACACACAGACATACGGACAAGATTGCAAAATTATGTTTTTCCGTATCAGTGAGATGTAAAACGTCGAGATTTGCAAAAATCTCGATTATTTTTTTTTGCACGATTACAAGACTTTCTCTATACTTCGTATATACGAGAAAGTAAAAATGTGCGAGCAGTGTTTCTTCCCGACTTTTTTATCCTAGTGCGGGGGGAGGGGGGGTCAGACTAAAATTTCTGGAGATGTGACACTGTTAAAAGTATATATTTTCTATACAAATTCCATTTCGTTTTATTTATTTTTTTTGGGAGGGGGGGGGGGGGGGGCGGGGCGGTGGTAGACGTTCTTACGTTACTTCCAAAATAAAATCAATTTAGAAACGAATAGTATAACTTTCTTTACAGCTTTACAGCTAAATACATTTTTTTAAAAGTATTAAAGACTAGATACTTAAAGAAGACATTTTAACAACTATGATCATTGCTAAGATAAAAACAGATTTTGAATTGTCTCCTCTTGCGGAGTAACCAAATGTTCTTGTATGTTTCTCTAAAGGACTTCGCCGCTTCCTACTGGGTGAGTCAAGGTTGCCCACGTGACAAGCTTGTCATTGGGTTGATCACCTATGGCCGGTCATTCACCCTCAGCAACCCCAGTGTCTTCGGGCTGAAGGCACCAGTCAACGGGCCGGGACAACCCGGGTTGTACACTGGGGAGGCCGGGTTTATGTCGTTTTATGAGGTGAGGCATGGACATTACAGTTGGTGTACATTTAATTGTCTATTATTGTTGACGTACTTGTACTTGTACATTATTGTTTGTGTACAAGCAATTATCAATTAATGTTAATGTACATGTACAAGTCAACAAATGTTAGTGTACATGTAATTGACCACTAATCTTAATGTACATGTACAAGTCCATTAATATTATTTTACATTTAGGGCCTACATGTCCATTATTGTTAGTGTACATGTAATTGTCCACTAATGTGAATATTAATGTGCATGTGATTGTCAATTGATGTAAGTGTAGGCTATATGTACATTTATTGTTGGTGTACATGCGCTTGTTCAATTATAGTGGTGAATTGTACTTGTTTATTACAGTTAGTGTACATATAATTGTCTATTAATCTTAGTGTACACATAATTATCAGAGTTTCTTCCAGGCATCTCTTCGGGGGGGGGGGGGGGACGAAGCCCCCCCGAAAAATGTTTACCGCCCCCCGAACGAAATGATATTTATATAATTTATATAGAAAATATATACTTTTAACAGTTTATGGCGTCACTAGGTCGGGTGCCACCCCATGCTGTAGTTTATGGCGTCACTCCATTAGTGCGCCCATTAATACTGCACGATTGTTTTAAGAGTGCGTAGCTACTAATCCATTTAGGGGTCATCCATAAATGACGTCACGCTTTTTTTACGTTTCTTACCCCCCCCCCCCTCCCCTCCGTCACACATCGTCACAAAAAGCCAGACCCCCCCCTAAAATGACGTCACACCTCAGCCTACAACTCCCCTCAAAAATGCAGTTGATTTTTTTAAACATCGATATTTTTCCAAAATCTTGTCTGAACTCTGTCAAAATCGAGTATTTTAATCAATTCCTATTACAATTTATTAAAACAGTTTTCTAAAACGCGAAATAACGTCTAAAATTCGTTTTCTAACATTGCTTTTTTATAATGCAAAAATGTGACGTCGCACCATCTGAACCTCCCCCCCCCTCTCCCTAATCACACATCGTCACAAAATTACGGACCCCCCTACGAGTGTGGCGTCATTTATGGACGATCCCTTAGTTACAAATCCACGTACTGCTACTCCCAACGCAAACATCGTTGTTATTTAGGTAAAATTTACAAGCGTGTCTATTTAGTGTCATCCACATCTGGTGTCTCCCGGTGTGACCCCCCCCCCCCCGCCTAGTTACGCCACTGTTATCTCTCGCCTGTGTAGGTCTACGCTATGATACAGAGAGGCGCTAAGGTCTACAGACTGGAGAGCGAGAAAGTGCCTTTCCTTGTGCTAGGCGACCAATGGGTGGGCTACGAAGATCAAGAGAGCTTGGACGTCAAGGTAAGTACATTCTTTAAAGAGATTTTTTAAAATAAATCCTAAATTAGTTTAATTGCTGTCCTAATTATGTAATTTGGGTGTGTTTCTTGTGAAAAATAAACATTACTTAACTTGTGTTTTATGTTTAAACCAGGGGTTGGCAACCTTTTGAGACGGAAGAGCCAAAACGTATAATTTACAAAATATCCCAGTTTTTTTTTTAAAAGCCACCAACAATTTTTTTTTCAACATTTGGTATTTGATTAGGATTAGTTAAATAAATTTGATTTGTTATTTAAAATAAATAGAATAGCTTTAAATATGAAATAATATTAATTCATTTAAAAACATACACATTTTTCACCAGAATAATAAAAAATGTTAATCAAATAATATACTATCCCAATCCACTTTATACGCTGTCATTTTTTATTTATTTTACGGATAACACCGGCAGGCAGGCCTCAACACGGCAAACTCAGACACTCAGACTAACTGGCTAAGATATCGGTTTGATTACGGGGTATCGGTCGCTTCTTTCCTTAGGTTCTCACCGGGCTTATATTCCACCCTACTGAACGCAGGTTAATCCTGTACCGCTCAGTGAAAGAGAAATTATTTAACTTTTAATATTTGTGCAAAGAGCTGGAGAGCCGCATTTTGACATCAACAGAGCCGCGTGCGGCTCGCGAGCCGCAGGTTGCCGACCCTGGTTTAACACAGGATACATTCAGAATTGTAATTATTTAAAGTATATCCTGCTTTAGAGGAAATTGTTTGTTCCATGCATCAGAGGATCATTAAGGGCTTTCTTTTCATGATGAATTCTTGGTTAAATACAGTCACTGGTTTAGTATTTAATATACAATCAATAATAATTCTACTTAAAAAATATTTTTCCAGAACTATGCATTTTTTAAATGACAATATATAATTATTAAATAATTCAATAACAAATTATAACAATCAAATTTGTTTTGGTTACGACTAAAGTATTGTGTATTTATGTCAATGTTTGGGATTTTCCTACTCGGTTATTTCCCTTGCAATATAAAATATTTTTACAACGTGAAACGGCTCAAATCAACATATAATCGTATTTTCAACACCGCAATTGATTTAAATTATATATTACAGTAAAATATTAAAAATCACATACATACATAAATAGGTCTGTATACATGCATTGTGAAATATATTTTATGTAATTGATGTGTTTATTTTGTAACAAAAAGTATTCAATGGTTGTGTCTCCTACGGAAATGCTACCCGTAGTTTCGTAGATTAATTTACCTCATCACGTTGTTCGTTCACTGATTGGTTTGTGCTAATACTGGGAAAATAAAATATTATCGTATGTTTTTAAAAGTGGAATACTGTATATTTTTACAAGCTTTTATTTAACTCACTTCCTCGACAGTCTGTCGTCAGTCTAGATCAGGGGTCTCCAAACTTTTCAGACTGAGGGCCGCATTACCTATCAAATTTCAGTTCGGGGGGCCAGTTTCTTCCAGGCATGTCTTTGAATTTTCTAGGCAAAGTTCCTCAGCCATCACCAACAAACGTTTTTTTCCTTGGACAAAATGATCTCCGCGGGCCGAATGAGAGGACCTCGTTGGCCGCATCCGGCCCGCGGGCCGTAGATTGGAGACCCCTGGTCTAGATCGAAACGCAGGAGTGAAAATTCGGATACTTCTACTTGACCGATACTATTCACATTTGGCACGTGGGTCAAGACATGAAGACACTGCAATCTGAAACTAAATTTAACTTAATTAAATGCCTAATTAATTTTTTATGAATTAATTAAAATTTGGACCGAATTAGTAGGCATGTCTAACCAACCACACCACACGCGTCATCACGTTCAATAGCTGCGCCATCATGTTCAATGGCTGCGCCATCACGTTCAGTAGGCGCGCAATGGTTTTTAGTCATGTAACTCTATTGTAAATGAAACATGTAAAATACTGAAAAAAAAATTCATAAAAAACGTTTTAATAACAAGCTTTTATGTAATAATGCACTAAAAAGCAGAAAATAAATTATAGACTACTATTTAAATAACTATAAAGAAAAGCGTAATACATTCTTTAAAGATATTTTTAAAGTAAATCCTAAAATAGTTTAATTACTGTCCTAATTATGTAATTTGGGTGTGTTTCTTGTGAAAAAAAAGCATTACCTTACTTCTGTTGTATGATTAAAAACGTAACATTCAGAATTGTTATTATTTAAAGTAAATCTTGCTTTAAGCCCAATATTGCTAACGCTCCAATTGAAGTTTGTCAGGGCTTTCTTTTCTAGGTGAATTCTTTGTTAAATGCAGTCACTGGTTTAGTATTTAATATACAAACAAATAATAATTCTATTTAAAAATATTTTTCCAGAACCATGCACTTTTTAAATGAGGATATATAATTATTTAATAATTCAACAACAAATTATAACTATCAAAGTGGTTTTTGGTTACAACTATAGTATTGTGTATTTATGTCAATGTTTGGGAATGTCCTACTCGGTTATTTCCCTTGCATTATAAAAACAATTACACCGTGAAACGGCTCAAATCAACATATAATCATATTTTCAACACCACAATTGATTTAAATTATATAATACAGTAAGATATTAAATATCACATATATGCATAAATAGGTCTATATACATGCATTGTGAAATATATTTTATGTAATTGATGTGTTTATTTTGTAACAAAAAGTATTTAACCTTTGTGTCTCCTACGCAAATGCTACCCGTGGTTTCGTTATTATCAGAGATAAATTTAGCTCATCACGTTGTTCGTTCACTGATTGGTTTGTGCTAATGCTGGGATAATAAAATCGTTTCGTATGTTTTTTTAAAGCGGAATACTGTATTTTTTGTGTAAGTTTGTATTTCTATAGCTCTTTCAAATACTTTTTCAGCTCCATCAGTGCATTTTTCTCTAGTTCTCTGGTTCTAATTTCTGTGTAACTACATTAAAGGGTATAATTTTTGTAGGTTTCCTGTCAGAGCTATAATTATCACAGGTTTGAGGTCTTAGAGTACATTGTGAATGTTTAAAAGATCCAGTATATTTTTAATGCTACATCTTGTGTTTTTGTAGGCCAAGCATATTGTTGATGTTCCATCTTGTCTATCTGTAGGTCCATTACCTTGTCAATGTTTCATCTTGTCTATCTCCAGTATCTTGTCAATATTCCATCTTGTCCATCTGTAGGTCCAGTATCTTGTCAATGTTCCATTTTGTCATCTGTAGGTCCAGTACATTAAAGACAACAACTTTGCTGGTGCGATGGTCTGGGACCTTGACCTTGACGACTTCAACAACCGTTTCTGTGACCTCGGCCGCTACCCACTTATTCAATCGATTCATGACAATCTCATCGACTAAAGCATTGTTCGAACTATTTGATTTATTACATTTTTCCAATTTTCATACAAACGATTAATACATTTTCAGCGATGTTTATGATTATAAATCGTAAGGTTTTACTTGTACATTTGTTAAGTAAAGGCCTACTATTATTTGATAATGGTATTATTTGTTATTAAAGATGCACATATTCAATACACATTGAACTCTGAGCTCATTACTTAACAACGGGCAGCGAACCTAGTTACATACTCATTAAAAAACAGAGTTGCTATTTGTTTCACAATATCAAATACTTACACTGGGCAGAACGTTAAACTATCAATGTTATTCATTTATCTACAATAGCCATATGTTTTGAATGCTATTCACACTATATGTTTACACTATAGGATGTTTATCTGCTATAGTAAGAACTCGGTATTGCGTTGAAAGTATTATGTGTTTTTTTCGTCAAGCGCCGGAGATATTACTGATGAATTGTTTGTGTTAAGTAGCTTCGAAGAGGTGCCAGACAATATATCTTTTAAAAATAATGGCAGTCAAGCTTAAAATTAAAGTTCATTCTTCTTACCTAACAATACATATGGCAGGTGAAGTAGAGTTACTAATTTTCTTGACTTTGGTAAATGATTGGATTGTCTGGACAGCACTATACCCAGCCGCTCTTACTTTCCTAACGTGAGTCAGGTACCCATCAGTGCTGGATGAACTCAGGGACTTCTTGTAGACTTAAGCCCGGAGCGAAATCCGAACTCGAGACTATTAATGTAAGCACACAAGCGCTCTACCACCCGACCCAACAGTTTTACCCATCGACAAAACGCTCCCATCGAAAAGGCTCAGTTTTTACCACGGACAACACAAGTTCAATCTCAAACCAAACTCTTTTGCACACAATGCATATCTTGCGGTTGCACAAACATACAAAAAAAACCCACCAATTTATATTTACCTATGAAATAAAGTTTATTCAAGACTTGTCTACACCTAACAGGTGAGCGAGCATCAACTTCTGCTATAATTAATAGTTCAACCGTTGTCCTGTGGAAGTTTAACTACTGTTGCATGCCGCATTGCACTCGGCCAGGGTTCGGAAATTATTTCCGTTGCTGTCACATCCGCCGTAGGTGAATCTCTTGCATTCTCCGGATGCCTGGTCGTAGTAGTATCTACGGAAGGAGGCCCTGCATTTTCCGACTACCACTGGACGGGAACACACATCAGCTACAATAAAACACATATTTTAATTTTTAAAAATTATAATATCAAGCATTTGAAAGAAGTAAAAAATAAGATTTTTTTTTTTTGTTGTAAAAGCGTTGTTTGCTCATAAGATTTCTGATATCGTTAAAGCCTGTAAAATAGACAGCGATTTCGGTATTTAGAAACAACTAACAAAAAGAGTGCGATTTACGATTAAAATTGTTTTGGGAGCTGGGCCAAAATAAAAAGCATTTTATTTTTCGTATCCGGTTCTAATTTTTTTTTAAATGAGTAGGGTTATTGACGAAGAACTAAGGCGAGGGAAAAAAACAATTGGACGGAATAAAATTGAAGGTGGATCGGCCATATACTTTAGAAGTCGAGGTCAGAGAAAGGCAAGTTTAAGCATAACATGGGACCGAAAGAGATAAAGAACGTGACAAGCCAAAAAAAAAAAAACTAAATTAGGGACAGTTGGAGAAACTAGCACAAGAAAGATGAGTTACCACTGGGGACAGTTGGAGAAACTAGCACAAGAAAGATGGGTTACCACTGGGGACAGTTGGAGAAACTAGCACAAGAAAGATGGGTTACCACTGGGGACAGTTGGAGAAACTAGCACAAGAAAGATGGGTTACCACTGGGGACAGTTGGAGAAACTAGCACAAGAAAGATGGGTTACCACTGGGGACAGTTGGAGAAACTAGCACAAGAAAGATGAGTTACCACTGGGGACAGTTGGAGAAACTAGCACAAGAAAGATGAGTTACCACTGGGGACAGTTGGAGAAACTAGCACAAGAAAGATGGGTTACCACTGGGGACAGTTGGAGAAACTAGCACAAGAAAGATGGGTTACCACTGGGGACAGTTGGAGAAACTAGCACAAGAAAGATGGGTTACCACTGGGGACAGTTGGAGAAACTAGCACAAGAAAGATGGGTTACCACTGGGGACAGTTGGAGAAACTAGCACAAGAAAGATGAGTTACCACTGGGGACAGTTGGAGAAACTAGCACAAGAAAGATGAGTTACCACTGGGGACAGTTGGAGAAACTAGCACAAGAAAGATGGGTTACCACTGGGGACAGTTGGAGAAACTAGCACAAGAAAGATGGGTTACCACTGGGGACAGTTGGAGAAACTAGCACAAGAAAGATGGGTTACCACTGGGGACAGTTGGAGAAACTAGCACAAGAAAGATGGGTTACCACTGGGGACAGTTGGAGAAACTAGCACAAGAAAGATGGGTTACCACTGGGGACAGTTGGAGAAACTAGCACAAGAAAGATGGGTTACCACTGGGGACAGTTGGAGAAACTAGCACAAGAAAGATGGGTTACCACTGGGGACAGTTGGAGAAACTAGCACAAGAAAGATGGGTTACCACTGGGGACAGTTGGAGAAACTAGCACAAGAAAGATGGGTTACCACTGGGGACAGTTGGAGAAACTAGCACAAGAAAGATGAGTTACCACTGGGGACAGTTGGAGAAACTAGCACAAGAAAGATGGGTTACCACTGGGGACAGTTGGAGAAACTAGCACAAGAAAGATGGGTTACCACTGGGGACAGTTGGAGAAACTAGCACAAGAAAGATGGGTTACCACTGGGGACAGTTGGAGAAACTAGCACAAGAAAGATGAGTTACCACTGGGGACAGTTGGAGAAACTAGCACAAGAAAGATGACTTACCACTGGGGACAGTTGGAGAAACTAGCACAAGAAAGATGGGTTAGCACTGGGGACTATTGGAAAAACTAGCACTAGAAAGATGGGTTACCACTGGGGACAAATTGGGGAAACAAATAAGACAAGAAAGATGGGTTAGAGTTGCAGATACTACAACACTTTTCCAAAATATTTCTAACCACGGTTCATATCTAAATTAGACTTTAGACTACGTCGGGATGAGGGTAAGTTATGTTGGTTCAGAGTAGGCCATTTAACTGTTATAGAAAAGTTTATAAGACACCATTCCGTCTGCCCAAGTTAATGTGATGTACAAACAACCTACCTGTTTGTTGCAGAGAAATCTGAAGACAAAGTACCAGAATACATAGAACAAACAACTTGGAAAACATCTTAATCGGTGATTTGTTAATCCTAAAGTCGCTCTCTAGAGTTTTAAAACAGTTTTATCTATTGTAAACCGATATGGTAATGTAAAACAGTCGGTCAAATCTACCATTAATATACCAGTTTTAAAAGTCACATGAGATCAGCAACTCGCACGTAATGAGCTGTAATTGTAACACTAATAGCTACAATTATTTTGTTGTCTAAGGGTGGCTCCATGAGTCGGTACAGAACTAAACAAAAGCTAGATACCATATGTAGCGTAATTACTTGGCTGACATTAAGCCGTGCCTGTGTGTTTCATGTCTAGATGTGGTTTGTAGCAGGTGTAGCAGAGTTAAGCAAAAAACATGAGTCACAGTCATTAATGGGGCGTAGCTTTGATGGGTGTAGTAATTACTGGAGCTTAGTTGTGATGTACCACTATCGGTGATGGGTGACTATTCGCAGTGGCGTAGCGAGGTTGGGTGTCACCCGGTGCGGCACTTAATGGTGTCACCCCCCCCCCCAGAGGCGTAGCGACTCTTCCCGGGGACAAACTTTCAATTTTCGATTTGCTGCACCCCCCCCCCCCCCCTCGAACTTTCGATTTGCACCCCCCTCGAACTTTCGATTTGCACCCCCCCCCCCTCAAATTTTTCTCTATATATTTTACCATTTTTTGCCTTGGTGTGACCCCCCCCCCCCTAAATGGTGTCACCCGGTTTCTAGCATTGTTTTTGTATTTCGTGATTAATTGCGATGTGTTATGTTAAATATGTATCCTTCGTTCAATGTTATTTATAAACTTTTTATATGTTATGTGATTACTGTATGGCGTTCAATTAATGTTAATGTTAATCTTCTAATCATTCCGCTTTTTTTATAACACCCTTATACCACTAGATCATAATTATAACTGCCACGACCGCGATGTACTGATTCAATTAGTCCAAAAGTCTAACTTTAACTAGACGATCGTTGATCATTGGGAGAAGCTTTACTCCATGTTACAGATTTAAATTTTCCTCGTTTAGATATTAACTCTAAGATGGAAGGGGGAAATAGCAGGTGTTTTAACCACAATAAAACGAGTGACTTCCCTGTAACTTTAGCCACTATGAAACGAATTACTTCCCTGTAACTTTAGCCACTATAAAACGAGTTAGTTTCCTGTAACTTTAGCCAATATAAAACGATTTACTTCCCTGTAACTTAAACCACTATAAAGCAAACTACTTCCTGTAACGTTGTTCTCTAAAGGAGATTTACATTCCAGTTTATTGTGTTCGTGTTAGGTGGATTTACTCAACTTAATCCTTTGTGGTCTCCGTGGAGCTAAGGGCTGCAATCACACCTCTAAACCGGTCTCGGTTTTGGGCAGCTCTCCTTATTTGCTCACATGTCACATTATCGGCTTTTGCTTATTCTTCTACTGTTCTTCTTCATGATTTCCCGGGCCGGCCTTGTTTTCTGTTACGGTATGTCTATGTAATTTTAGAGTTTAGACATTGAAGAATCACATTGTCTACGTTCCGCCTTGAAATCCAACAGACAATGTGGTTAAAAAAAACGGTCAATGTTTTTAACTTACCACTTACCTCAAAAACAGCACATTGGAAACGGGAGTTAAAATGAAAATAACATTGATATTTTCAGGGGGGTGGGAGGGGGGGGTGCACACTGATATGGTAAAATGGTAAAGTATATATTTTCTATATAAATTCCTTTCGTTTCGGAAGGAGGGGGGGGGGAGAGGGGGCGATAAAGAGCCCCCTCCCTGAAGAGCTTCCTGGAAGAAACTCTGCAACAACAAAAGCAAACAAAACCACTCTAAAACAACATTACCAATTCCTGAAATATCAAAATACACCTAACAATCCTGTTGCATGGTTTTCAAATCACACTATATACAATCCATTTTTTTTAAAAATCAAGTTTTAATAAATATGGACCCATCTGGAAATGATTGAGGCAATAAATATGGACCAATCGGGAAATGATTGAGGCAGCACCTGATTGACGGTAGCCAATCCTGACGTGAAGATTGTTCCATTGTGGAGGATTTATCACATGCTCCCCTAAACCGGAAGTGGGTGAGAAAATCTCGTCCGATCCCTAGCATCTGTCTTCTTTACTGCTAGATCGATACGGGGCTTGGTATCGATAATCGATTATTCCACCAGGAATCAATCCTAGGGGGGGGGGGGGGAGTGGACATGAAAAAATACCAGGAAAAAAATAATCGATATCGATTTGTGTATCGATTTAAGCCCGGAGGCTGAAAGATAATCAATAACCAATTACTTTGGTTAGATTAGTTGATGATGTTGAGGAGGGAGGAGGGTGGGTGTGGTTGTATCGTAGATTGTGTAGTACAGCATAACGTTGTGTATTTTGTTTTTTGTGTTGTTTTTTTTTCTGGCGACAGCTCTCTAGACACGGCAAACAAAGAATGTGGCCTTATCAGGTTCTTAGAAGCCGCTCAACGAAGACAAAAATAATAAACAATGGTAAAAAAAACTTTAACAATTAAGATAACAATAGTAAAAAAAAACAATTTTAACAACAAAAATAAAAATGGTAATAAAACAATTTTAACAATAAAGATAAACAATGTTAAAAAACAACTAACAATAAATATAAACAATGTTGAAAAAACAACTTTAACATAAAGATAAAAATAGTAAAAAAACAACTTTTAAAAATAAAGATAACAATAGTAAAAAACAACTGTAACAATAAAGATAACATAAACATATTCAACTCTGCTTTGGAGTCTCAATGAATGTTTTTTTTTTCTACTTAAATTAAATGATGACAATAAAATATTGTGTATTGTAGAGAACCATAGAAAAGAAGATGCAGATGGGCTAAAATATTACCAGACTCGGTGCCTGTGTGTTTATATCTAGATGTGGTTTGTAGCAGGTTAAGTAGAGTCAATCTAAACCATGAGTCGAGCTATTTAACTGGGTGTATAATTAATGAGTGGGGTAATTACTGGAGCTGGGTTGTGATGTGAAACTATTGGTAATGCGCCACATAGATTATACAAGAGAGACCAAAAATACATAATTTGGCGCTTGAAAATGAAACAAAAAGAGCGTGAAAGTAATTGGAAAGAGTTGGAAAGAAAAATTCATGACAGTAAAGAACGGATTAAAAAATTGAAGGAATGTGTAAATGAACTATGCTCCAGCGGGAGTTGAAAAATGCAAAGAAGAAGAAGAATGGTATATAACAATTAACTGAAACAATAAAGAATCAAATCTCAACCCAAGTCCTAACGCTAACTTTAAGACTAACTACCTCATACTACAGGTGTAACAGATAAACCAAGTATCGTAATCAGCGATACAACAATATCGATTACGGCGGTATGGCTAAGAAAAATGGAACGGTACTATTTGCAATTTTTGAAATAAGATGTTTTTAACACTCACTTCTTGCCCAAAAAACCCTTGGTAAAAAAATAATAATAAGTAATCTTTTATAAAAAAAATACTTTTTATAAAAAAAAAACAAATAAATATTCTTTTACATAAAAAGGTAATGTCTAGCTAGGATCAAAAGCTAGCGAGGATGCAGTTTTTTTTATATTGACGGAGTCCTTTGGTCGAAACCTTTTAATGTCCGCCGCTAGACGGTTACGTGTTAAACATGTTAAACTTGTTAACCCTTTCAGGACCCACGCCTATTTCCACAACTGTGTTATCAGCTGTGTTTATAGTTCAACCTTTAATAGAGACCACGACTAACCACACGTTTTTTTGTTCAACGGCGACGTTCATATTCCATCTCGGCAAACAGATAATCCTAATGGTTAATCCCATCTAAATCCGTAATCAAACTTCTGCATTGAGTGAAATGTAACACATTTTAACCCTCCAAACCCCGCAATGTCACACTCGATTCCCTCCCCTTATACACACACACACACACACATACAAAACAACAAACCTTTTAAATGTGTTAAATGGTCATTTTAAATAGGTCAATACCGGGTCACTGTGACCCACGTTTTGACCCCCAGGGGGGAGAATACGAGTACCATGACGTCACGAAATAGTTTAGGTCTCTAAAACCGCACTTAAAAATATCGATTGGACCAGAATCGATTTCAATACTAATTTACGATGAACACATAACGGAGGGCCGAGGCTATAATTAGAGCGAGGTGGGAATGTGTTTAGAGGGGCTGGGGGGGGGGGAGGGTGTATATAGTATTAGCGCTAACTCCAGGATCTCGGCTAGGCCTGAGTTAGCACGAGATTGAGATTTTTACCAAACATAGCCTCGATATGACCCTAGCGAAGAGCATAGAAGTACTTTCTCTCTTTCTAACAGCTGGGCTCTTGAGGTATCGATAAAAGAATTGACAGACTGACTAGCGTAAAGTTTAACTAATGAGTTAGTAGTTGGTTCCACTTTTATCCCAATCGTGTAATTACTTGAATCTCGCGTGTGAGCAGGAATTAATTAATTAGGCTGGCTAATTAGGAATTATTCGGTTCAGAGAAATGTAGTCGGGCAGAAATGGTTTCGACGCCTAAAATACTGACTCCTATAAGACTGACTCTTATAAGAGACCTCACCTAATAAGACTCCAGTCGTTAGTGTATGTTTTATTTACATGGCATTTTGTTCTGATTCCATAAGTTGAACAAAAAATATTGTCTACTTTAAATTTGCATCAGAAATATTCACATTTTATATAAATGCATCTCGTTTGAAAAAAAAAATTAATTATCTAAACAAACATGAAGGTAAATGTATAGGTGTAGTAAAGTTTCTCTGATCTTTGGAGAGCGAATCAAAACGCTGAGACTTGCAAATGCCCAGGCGATTTTATTTTTTTCCAATGAGACCTAAAATAAGGCTTAAAACCTTCATGACAAAGAGTTTGAACTCTTATAAAAACAAGTTATGACCTGGTTAGACGTCACAAAAATCTAAGTTATGCAAAGTAATAAAAGCTTGTTACCTCAGATAAGGGAAGTAATCAAAGCTGCTTGCCTCGGTGGAGAAAAGTACTAAAATGCTGTTCGCCTTAGCTAAGGGGGGAATAATAAATACCTGTTGACTTTGGTTTAATGAAGTAATAAAAAAAGGTTGTTCACCTGATCTAAGGGAAATTTTAAAAAATTGGTTATTTAACTTTGTTAAGGGAGGTTATAAAAAGCTGTTTACCTATTATTTCTGATATTTTCCAGTGACAAATAAACAGATAAACGTTTTTCGACCAACTATTTATATTACCAATTTTTTCTCTTATAACTTATCTGGCGTCATGTATGTAACTTTTATATCCACCGACTCATATGAGTCACAGTGTCGACCGATATCTTGTAGACTACGTATCGACGCACGTTTTTGATTTACACAGTGCATATCATATTGTACATTTGCCGTCGTGTATTGAACAATCATCGGTTTAGTTGGATTATGTGACGGTTCATAAGTACTGTCAGTCGGTGCATCTTTAGCACATACAGACATATATTTGTATGTGCTGATTCGTTTAATAACACTCTCAGCAATAAAGAACAATTACTAGCAAACATTGACCAATTACAGATAAAGATTGACCAATTACAGATAAACATTGACCAATTACAGATAAAGATTGACCAATTACAGATAAAGATTGACCAATTACAGATAAAGATTGACCAATTACAGATAAACATTGACCAATTACCGGCATACATTGACCAATTACAGATTAATATTGATCAATTACAGATAAACATTGACCAATGACCAACAAACATTGACCAATTGCTAACTAAAGAAAATTGACTAATTACAAGCGCATATTTGACCATCACCAACGCATTTTTTACCAATCGCAAAAGCATATTTACCAATTACTATCTAATTAACGAATTACTAGCGCACTTTTGCAAATTACCAGCTCATTTTGACCAATTACCAACATCATTTCGAATACACAAACACCCAGTTAACGTTACCTGACGCATATTAAACATGTGTTGGCACAAATTGTCCGGATGCCGACACTTACAACTCATAAATATTCTAAAACACAATGACTATTTACCGGCACTTATTTACCGACATACTGACATATATCAACTGGCAGCCTTTAAAATTTGGCCCATACATTTTCACTGCTTGCCGGCAAATATGCCAAAGTTGCCGGCAAAAAAAATGACCGGTTACCGGCACATATTTACAGACATACTGACATATATGAACCGACAGCCTTTAAAATGTGGCCAACACAAACGCATATACACATGCCGGCGAATATGCCCAAGTTGCCGGCAAAAAAATAATGACCGGTTACCGGCGTATATTGACCGCTGCGCCGGCGCTTATCGACGGCGCGCCGACGCACCCAGAACACGAGCAGATCGATTGATTGGTTCCGATCAGTGAATCGATGAAACACGGTCCCTCTAGTGGCTAGACCAGCAGTCAGGTGTTTTGTTCACAAAGATTCGTTCGCTCTGACTACAGCTGTTGGAAACATTGTGGGGTTGTTGTTTTTATATGGTGATTTGATCGGGGATTCACGTGTGAATGCAGGTGAGAATTTTTGAGTGATTTAATTTTAAATTTAGTGTTCTATTGCTATAAATTTATAATGTGTAAAGATGTGATTCGTAAAAACAGTAGATACTTCTTTCGACCTCACGGTCCATTTGGCAGATAGAGTTCATGTTTCTTGACTTCGGCGTATGAAGGGATATTGTGGTAAGCACTGTTCCCAGCCGTCTTTACTTTCCTAAAGTGAGTTAGGTACCTTATAGAACTGGGTAGACTCACGGACGTTCCACTTACTTGAACTTGGATTCGAACTCGAGACTCTCGGGTTAGCAGTATAGCGCTCTACCGCTAAGTCACCCTTAAGATGTAATTAAACCAATTAAATTTAGGAGAATAACAAGTATGGGATGTAAACTATATTTATTTATTTTTTTTAAATCGTATGTACCCAATGTTGTGAGGAGGTTTAGACCACATGTCTCCGTAAAACGAAGTATCCAATTTGCAAAGTGGTCAATCGAAGATACACATGTTGGATACAAGAGACCCTGTCATTTAAACTCTACGTTCAACATAATTGTAATCAGTGGCGTACCTAACTTAATGTGCCGGAGGGGGGGGGGGACAGCGCGAGTCATATAATTGTATGTATAGAGTCAACATGTGGCGACGGTGTGATTCAAGTCTGTCGCGTATCGGGGAAGAGGTGTACGGGGCGGACAGACCCCGGTACTTTGTTTGGATTCTAACAATGACTACACTTTTTTTTTTACTTTTATTGCTCTCAGTGTCAAGCTTAAAAATTAACATGGGTTAAGTTCTTATTTTTAAAAATCCTGCCTACGCCACTGGTCAAAGTTCTTACTTTATCGAGTGTTTAACCAACGCTGATTTATTGCCTGGAAGAAAATTATAAACTATATCCCTGTTTTAATGAGAAATTTGCTTAAAGATAATTAGTTTTCAGTTATCAATTTTCAGAAGACTAATCGATGTTAACTTACTTCATATACATTTACCAGAACAGAAATCTATCTGCACTCAACAAAATAAATGTTTATAATATTGAAGAATTTATAACATCCTCCTCCCAACAACTTGCGAACCTATCACACCTCTCGATATCTTTAACAATTCAACCTTATCCAAGTTTTGTATCAAATTAGAACGGTCTTGGCCTTCCCTCGTACCTTATCCCGGCATCCACTTCCGTAGTGTCAAAGACAACATTCAGGTACCACCGCACTAATTTTTGTCATAGAGGCCCCTGACATTTCACAGACAACATTCCGGTACCACCGCACTAATTTTTGTCACAGAGACCCCCTGACATTGTCCCCATTCTACTCCAAGTACTAGGGTCGTGGCATGTCGCATTTGTCGTGACAAATATTCCGTTTAGTCACCGTCCTTAACCTTACCCCCCCCCCCCTCACACACACACACGCACACACACGCTCCCCGTGTTTGTAATTCCTCCACGTGTGGTATGCCATCCACGCCCCATGTAGCCACATTGAGCAGACGACCAGGTCTAATTGTGTGCATCGTGTGTCAACATGGACCATTCCCGCTCCCTCTCCCCCCCCCCCCCCCCCCCCACCTCTCCGCTCTCCCTTTCAATTTTTAACCATCATGAAATTACCTCTAGCTATTCTAACATCTCTCTTTTTTTTTTCTTTTTTTTTCATTTTTTTTTTTAGAATAGTTATTTACTTCGTCAATCTTTCATCTAAAACAACATTAGACTATTGTGGAATCAAAAGTTATGACATGAAAGGGTTCTCTTTATAGTTTAAATTAACCTTTGAATCTTATTTATCAATGTTTTTAAAAGTATTGTGTTTGACGGGTAAAAGAAAAGAAAATAAATAACGTTTTTGCATTATATTTCTCTAAAGCAAATTTAGGCCCTTAAAATAATTATCGTGTTTCTACTCATTACCTATATCGTATTGGTGACAAACTGAGACCCGAAAATATTCTTGTATAAAAAAATATTTTGTCATAGATTCTACGACATGGTGCATTAGAAGAAAAATATGTTGCAGAGTTAGTCCATAAGTCCATACATACTTTAGAACTGCCGACCACGTCATTAGAAAAATCTTTAGAATGATATAACATTTTATACATTTTTTTTCACGTTCAAGTGTGCTACTAATAAATCGTTGGATAATTATTATTTTTTATCTCTACACGTTTGAATATGCGTTCCATTTGGAAATAAACTTTATCAAATGTATTTAAAAGAATTTAATAATTTCGAAGGCAATTTTTTTATATGCCCCCTACTAGCTTTAAAACTTGAACAATAGGTGCAACCCCCCCCCCCCCCTCCTCTTCTCACTCCTCACTCCCATGCCCCCCCCCCCAGGGAGTTTGTTTGACCACCCCCCCCCCCTTTGGTCAACGAAGATGGTCATCGTGTTCCCAAACCCTCAGGTGAGCCTCCGGTCACGTGGTCTGGGAGGAAGTAAAGCAACAGCACCTCCCCCCTTCCCTGTCCAGGACCCCCCTGTCCAGGAACCCCCTGTCCAGGATCTTTGACGAAACTTTGATTTCTCGAATTGAAGGACTGAGGTTGGTTTCGATGCTGAGTTCAGTCGATCGGATTAAATTTGATATAAATAAGTAATCAAGAGAAACAAATATAGGTTGATATCAGTGCTTTGTCAACAACAACAAAATTAGTAATAAGTTGATATCAAGGTGGTACAAATATAAATTAATATCAGCGCGTAGTCCGAAGGAGCATATATACGTTTATATTAACAGTTTGGAGACTCAGATATACGTTTAACAGAGAGGATCAGATATATGTTTGTATCAACGCTGAGAGGGGTGGATTAGATGTACATTGATAGAGGATTATCAAGCTGAACCTACAATTGCTTCATGTGAACAAAATAGCGGGGAAAATGACAAAAATTATGGGATTTAAAATGTAAGTAGATTCAAATCTAATTAACTTGATTAAAATATTTTAGAAAATAAAATAATTATTCAGTTATAAAACAGGATAAGGATATTAGATCTCATGTTATAGGTTGTGGTACTTAAATTTAGTTGTCGTATTAATGGTTGACAAATTAACAGGTCTGAAGACCTAAATCATCATTTTTATACGTTTCCATTTTACCAAGTGCTAAATACAGGAATATTTTTTTTTAAAAATAACACTTTGATAACATAATATAATAAAAGTAAGTACAATTTTCTTTACGAACCTGATGGTGCATGGGGCAAGTGAATTAGTGTTCATCTGTTTCTGTTACATCGGCATATGAAGGGATCGTGCGGTCCGCACTAGGCACTACCGTTTTTACTTTGCTAAACGTGAGTCAGGTAGCCATCAGAGCTGGGTGGACTCAGGGACGTTCTACTAACTCGAACCCGCATTTGAACTCGAAACTTTCAAATTAGCAGTCTAGTGCTAAATAAAATAAATGTTTAAATATTGAAGTATTTATAACATCCCCCCCAGAGTTTCTTCCGGGCAACTCATCGGGGGGGGGGGGGGGAGAAGCCCCCCCCCCTCCGAAAAAAGTTTACCGCCCCCCGAACGAAATGGAATTTATATAGAAAACATACACTTTTACAAGTGTCCGCCCCCCCCCCCTCCCCAGAAAATGTTGTCCCCTCCCCCCCCCCCCCGAAAATATCAAGTCTCCCCCCCCCCCCCCGATAAAAAATTCTGGAAAAAACACTGCCCCCTCTTCCCACCCACTCCCCCCCCCCCCCCCCACCCCACTTCCAAAAAACTTGTTAACCACATCTAAATAATTCTTACTATTCATCCTTATCCAAGTTTTGTTTCGAATTCGAACCCGCATTTGAACTCGAGACTTTTTCAAATTAGCAGTCTAGCACTCTATTGTCAATTTAATTTTGCTTGATTAGCGTCAAACAGAAAAAAAAGCACCACTTGAAAGCTAGAAAAGATTTTATCGTAACCACTTTGTAACAAAACCTTCAGACGCCATCTTTAGACAATAGAAACTAATTCCAGAACACGACAGCCCAAAAACACCAGACACATACTTTAACCACTCGTGCGCTAACCAATTTAATTTACAACCCAATCAATAATTAAAACCAAGTGATCAATAAGCATGATTAGCTAGCGTTTTTTTATTAGAAATCTCAAGAATTTTTAACGTACCTTTTCGAGGCAATATATTGCTGGATCCATAGGTATCATATAACAATAGATTACACATAATGGTTCAGGTATTCCTGTAGTCTAAAAACACCCCCCCCCCCCCCCCCCAATCCTTCCCGGTCCAACAATGCTAGTAAGGAATTCCATTTAAGATCTACTCGATAGTCGCTACAAAGCCGAACAATGTGAACATACTCAGTCACGCAATGATCACTGAAGCGCGTCGGTTTGAGAGTACGTAATTTGTAAATCTGTTTCAGTGTTGAACAATTTGTGTGGCGTTTGGAACTTTACTTCATATAGACACGCCGCGAAAAACAATTGATTGGTCTCTCAATTAAATTAGTATGTAGTATTAGCAACAACAATTAGTTTTCGTGTTTGGAAATATAATTTTTTTATCATTAAATATGTTTAGCTGACAGGCCGAATATTGTTTTTAACTTAAACTTAATTGACATGCTTGGTTTTCATATTGAACATTATTTTAACTTAAACTAAATTGACATACTTAGTAACACATGTAACATTATTTTAAATTAAACTAAATTGATATAAACCACACTTAGGAGTCATTTTAAAAATGCAGTAAAGTTAACCAAGTTTGGAAGCAGGCTGAAAATAGAGTCAATGGTCTCAATGGCGCATAATCAGTTGACACGTATCCTTAATTGTGATGGAGGCGTGGTCGAGTCGACAAAAACCTCATGGTTGATAAATTCGAAAAAGTCTCGAGTTCAAACCCTCTGGCAGATAAGGCTCGATCCCTTCCAACACTAAAATTAAGAACGAAGAAGAAGAAGAACAAAGTTTTGGTGTCATGATAGCATGGTTTCAGGTATACCCAAATCAAAACTAAGTGTAGATGCCCCGAATAAAATCAGCGACTATCGGAACCCATGTGGTAAGAAAGCTATTGACACAGTAGAACTGCCGTGTCGCCAGCCCACCGATAGTATGTAGTCTACTTTTTTTGTAGCAAAAACCTTCACTGAAGTGTACTCAACAACCTCCCAAATTTTCAAACTAGCATACGTAATATAGGGACACTGTTGAGTACGCTACCGCGAACAGTATTTCCATACATTAAAAATATCCCTTTATCTGGGCTCATCCCCCCCCCCCCCCCCATCTTGTGTCTAACACAAGAATACGTTAATAAACTAAAAGCGACAGTTTAACGTTTTTACCATAATAATATGAAGGATAAATTTCAATAAAAATAACAGGATGAAAACGGTATGTTATTACAGTGAGTGTGCATAGAACTTCTTTTCTTTTAAGATCGCATGAATTGTCAAGCGCATAATTTTATTTTACCGAATTACGATACATTATGTAATACGATTAAAAGTTTGTTTTTCACGTAACCAAAGTCTAGTAATACGTGAATTTGTTGACTTGCTGCGATGACAGGCAATCCTCCCATAGTTTTACCTTGCTCTTTAACGTAAGAAATATAGAATTTTAAATTAGTGTGAAGATCTTAAGAGCTCCCGTTATCAGTGGCGTAGCGAGGTCGGGTGTCATCCGGTGCGACACTTAATGGTGTCACCCCCAGAGGCGTAGCGACCCTTCCTGGGGACAAACTTTCAACTTTGCTCCCCCCCCCCTCGATTTGCACCTCTTAAAACACTATTTGACACTCGAATCAATCACTTAATTAAGTGGGATTATAATTTTTCTCTATATATTTTGCTATTTTTCGCCTCGGTGTCACCCCCCTAAAAGGCGTCACCCGGTGCGGTCCCCCCCCCCCCACGCTCTCCCTCGCTACGCCTCTGTCCGTTATCCCCCCTCCTCCCCCCCCCCCCCCAAACGATTATTGGTGTACCACATAGGTCGGTGACCCGGTACCCTTGACTTCTGCTAAGTCGCTCGTCAGATTCCTTTTTGATACTTAACAAAAGCTTGACATTCTCTCGTGGGGAACTCTAATGACTGGCGAGGGGAAGACGTGTTAGTGTTAAGCATACACAATATCTCACGGTTGGTCTGACAAGAGCAGGGGTTTCCAGACTGGGAGTGGATTAGTTAGGGAGGAGTGGATTAGTTAGTGGAGGAGTGGATTAGTTAGGGAGGAGTGGATTAGAATTAGTGGAGGAGTGGATTAGAATTAGTGGAGGAGTGGATTAGAGTAAGGGGAGGAGTGGATTAGTTAGTGGAGGAGTGGATTAGTTAGTGGAGGAGTGGATTAGTTAGTGGAGGAGTGGATTAGTTAGGGAGGAGTGGATTAGAATTAGTGGAGGAGTGGATTAGAATTAGTGGAGGAGTGGATAAGAATTAGTGGAGGAGTGGATTAGTTAGTGTAGGAGTGGATTAGTTAGGGAGGAGTGGATTAGAATTAGTGGAGGAGTGGATTAGAATTAGTGGAGGAGTGGATTAGTTAGTGTGGGAGTGGATTAGAATTAGTGGAGGAGTGGATTAGAATTAGTGGAGGAGTGGATTAGAATTAGTGGAGGAGTGGATTAGTTAGTGGAGGAGTGGATTAGTTAGTGGAGGAGTGGATTAGAATTAGTGGAGGAGTGGATTAGTTAGTGGAGGAGTGGATTAGTTAGTGGAGGAGTGGATTAGTTAGTGGAGGAGTGGATTAGAATTAGTGGAGGAGTGGATTAGAATTAGTGGAGGAGTGGATTAGAGTTAGTGGAGGAGTGGATTAGTTAGTGGAGGAGTTGATTAGTTAGTGGAGGAGTGGATTAGTTAGTGGAGGAGTGGATTAGTTAGGGAGGAGTGGATTAGAATTAGTGGAGGAGTGGATTAGAATTAGTGGAGGAGTGGATAAGAATTAGTGGAGGACTGGATTAGTTAGTGGAGGAGTGGATTAGTTAGGGAGGAGTGGATTAGAATTAGTGGAGGAGTGGATTAGAATTAGTGGAGGAGTGGATTAGTTAGTGGAGGAGTGGATTAGAATTAGTGGAGGAGTGGATTAGAATTAGTGGAGGAGTGGATTAGTTAGTGGAGGAGTGGATTAGTTAGTGGAGGAGTGGATTAGAATTAGTGGAGGAGTGGATTAGTTAGTGGAGGAGTGGATTAGTTAGTGGAGGAGTGGATTAATTAGTGGAGGAGTGGATTAGTTAGTGGAGGAGTGGATTAGAATTAGTGGAGGAGTGGATTAGAATTAGTGGAGGAGTGGATTAGAATTAGTGGAGGAGTGGATTAGAGTTAGTGGAGGAGTGGATTAGTTAGTGGAGGAGTGGATTAGTTAGTGGAGGAGTGGATTAGTTAGTGGAGGAGTGGATTAGAATTAGTGGAGGAGTGGATTAGTTAGTGGAGGAGTGGATTAGAATTAGTGGAGGAGTGGATTAGAATTAGTGGAGGAGTGGATTAGTTAGTGTGGGAGTGGATTAGTTAGTGGAGGAGTGGATTAGTTAGTGGAGGAGTGGATTAGAGTTAGTGGAGGAGTGGATTAGAGTTAGTGGAGGAGTGGATTATAATTAGTGGAGGAGTGGATTAGAATTAATGGAGGAGTCGATTAGATAGTGGAGGAGTGGATTCGTTAGTGGAGCAGTGGATTATAATTAGTGGAGGAGTGGATTAGTTAGTGGAGGAGTGGATTAGTTAGTGGAGGAGTGGATTAGTTAGTGGAAGAGTGGATTAGAATTAGTGGAGGAGTGGATTAGAATTAGTGGAGGAGTGGATTAGCTAGTGGAGGAGTAGATTAGTTAGTGGAGGAGTAGATTAGAATTAGTGGAGGAGTGGATTAGAATTAGTGGAGGAGTGGATTAGTTAGTGTGGGAGTGGATTAGTTAGTGGAGGAGTGGATTAGTTAGTGGAGGAGTGGATTAGAATTAGTGGAGGAGTGGATTAGAATTAGTGGAGGAGTGGATTAGTTAGTGTGGGAGTGGATTAGTAAGGGGAGGAGCGGATTAGTTAGTGGAGGAGTGGATTAGAATTAGTGGAGGAGTGGATTAGAGTTAGTGGAGGAGTGGATTAGAGTTAGTGGAGGAGTGGATTAGAATTAGTGGAGGAGTGGATTAGAGTTAGTGGAGGAGTGGATTAGAGTTAGGGGAGGAGTGGATTAGAGTTAGTAGAGTGGATTAGTTAGGAGTGGATTGGAGTTTGTGGAAGAGTGTATTAGTTAGGGGAGGAGTGGATTACAGTTAGCGGAGGAACGAAAATTTTAAAGGAAATATTCAATTTATTTTATACTGATTTAGAAGTTAGTTATACCTATGAAAAGAAAACGAATATAAGTGTATCTACCATTCTTTAAAATGTGTAGACACATTTCAATATCGAAAAGAAAATCTCTCCTCTGTAAATTTTCATATTGCATTAGTTACTTCCCTTTAGCAAAATAAAAAACATTGAGGGAAGCAAACTAATTGCAATGTTAAAAATACAGCGAAATTCGTCGTTAAAGAAATTAAACAGATACTATTTTTTGTTACTACAATAATATGATAACTATAAGTTTTGTATGAAGGTTTGTATATGATTTTATATTTCACAAATTTTTCAATTATTGTATAAGGCCGGGGCTTAAAAAGAAAACTGTTAGTTGTCTTAAATAGTGTATTTTTACATATATCAATGTAATATTCTCAGTTTTAATTTCTCAGAAGTAATAATAATTTTGTTACAAACCTTTCCACCTCCTTAACAACGACACTGTCCTATGACCCATATACATGTATGTATATCAACATCTTATTCATTTGGTTTGTCAGCCCCTATTAGGGCTGGCTGCTGGGGTTGAGAAGTTGGTCATCGAGGCATCGAATGCAAAAGATCGTGTGGTGTTGCGCCCACACATCCCTCGATTGCACACAGCTCTCGAGAAGAGCCACCTAGTACTTGTACAACGGTGGCTTTAATGTACGAGTGGCTTATAATAAATTCTTTTCAGCTAGACGACGCCTACCTAGGAGCAATCTTAGGTAGGATGTTCCGTCTCGCACCATTGAACCTATACTCAAAGCTCTATTGGAATCAATAAAAGAAACGAAAAATTAAAAGAGAAAATAAAGAAGCAAAAATCATTGAAGAAACAGAAAGATAAAAGGAAGGAAAGTAAAGACATTTTGAAAATCAGGAAGAGACAAGAATCAAGACTTGAAACTGATTGTACATTGTATGCTAATTCACTAATTCATGTAACTTTAATGTAATAATAATGCAACCTTTCCACACAGTGGGCTCCTTGCTTGAGTAGAGTAAACTGTGTGGAGGGAAATATATAAAAAAAAAATATTTATCTCAGCACAGCACATAAAAAAATGTATATCAAGATATATGTTTATATATATATATATATGAATAAATAAATATGTATATATATATATATATATATATATATTCAATTTACAAATAGAATGTAGTAATTTTTGTAATGTGCGTACAAAGAAAAAACTGCTCATATTAAACATCCCATTGAAAGGTTATAAAAATAAATATTTCTCCCGTCAGGTATTATGTTCGGCCGAGAGTTTGTGCCCGACAAAGCTGTACCCCTACCTGTTGCTGAAGAAAGATGGAGAATCATGTATAACGAGGTAATGTATCTAGTGTTTTCATAGTTACTCCCAGTTAGTATATTTACCTTAATTAGCATCCTACAATTTTTCAATCTAAATTCTTTAAACGTGATGATGAACCAATTTTTAATACATGTAACTACTCATTTGGTGTACAGTTGTTTTGTTTTTTAAGTTTTGATTTAAATTTGAATCGACTCACAAAATTTGAATAGTTAGGCACTAGCAAACAGAATAACCACATTTCAAGATTAATCTGCCAGTTAGAGTTTTGGTTGAGATAAGTAGATAGGATTAGTTCGAGATTATTGGTATGGATTAGAGTTGGGGCTAAGTTAACAGGTTGGGTTATTTTTAGAATTTAACTAAACACCCAACACTGACTGGGATAAACTGGAAGATGGATAAAAAAATTCGTTACCATTCATGATTCTAAAAGACGGTAATAATTGAGCCTACTCAACTTAAATGGATACTTGAAATTAAATGGAGTCATTAAAGCGGCAAGACACTTTTCTAGCTTAACAGCCCTTAGTAAAATATGAGCGACTATGCAAGTGTTTTGGAACGGCGTAGAGTGCTAGAATGCTAACCAGTGTTTCTTCCAGACTTTTTTCTCCGGGGGGGGGGGGGGGGGGGAGGCACTTGGAATTTTCCGGGGGGGGGGGGGCGGTAGACTTTCTTCGGGGGGGGGGGGCGGACACTGTTAAAAGTATATATTTTCTATATAAATTATATAAATTTCATTTCGTTCGGGGGGGGGGGGGGCGGTAAAAAATTTTCGGGGGCCGTAGAGATGCCTGGAAGAAAACTCTGATGCTAACCCGAAAGTTTAGAGTTATAGAATCCGGGTTCAAGTCAGTATAAGTTTAGTACAAACGTATCTGAGTCCAACTAGCTCTGATGGGTGCCTAACTCACGTTAGGGTAAGTAAAGGCGGCTGGGCATACTGCTGATCACAGCATCCCTTCATATGCCGAGGTCGCTAAAAGAATAAACCTTACACAACTTGTCCCATGAACTGTCTGGTTCGAAAAGGGAACTTCACTTATAAAAGTGTTAACTAATACCTTAAACGTAAAAAGTAGCCTACACTATCTATATATGTGTATCTATATATGTGTATCTATATATGTGTATCTATATATGTGTATCTATTTATGTGTATCTATATATGTGTATCTATATATGTGTATCTATATATGTGTATCTATATATGTGTATCTATATATGTGTATCTATATATGTGTATCTATATATGTGTTATCTATATATGTGTATCTATATATGTGTATCTATATATGTGTATCTATATATGTGTATCTATATATGTGTATCTATATTGTGTATCTATATATGTGTATCTATACATGTGTATCTATATATGTGTATCTATAATATGTGTATCTATATATGTGTATCTATATATGTGTATCTATATATGTGTATCTATATATGTGTATCTATACATGTGTATCTATATATGTGTATCTATATATGTGTATCTATATATGTGTATCTATACATGGTGTATCTATATATGTGTATCTATATATGTGTATCTATATATGTGTATCTATATATGTGTATCTATATATGTGTATCTTATATATGTGTATCTATATATGTGTATCTATATATGTGTTTTCTATATATGGTGTATCTATATATGTGTATCTAATATGTGTATTTATATATGTGTATCTATATATGTGTATCTATATATGTGTATTTATATATGTGTATCTATATATGTGTATCTATATATGTGTATCTATATATGTGTATCTATATATGTGTATCTATATATGGTATCTATATATGTGTATCTATATATGTGTATCTATATATGTGTATCTATATATGTGTATCTATATATGTGTATCTATATATGTGTATCTATATATGTGTATCTATATATATGTGTATTCTCTATTACAGCAGCTCCGTTCCCCCACTTACGCGGTGTCCCACTACATCGCCTACCTACGTCGCTACGTCGCCGGACACGGGGCAGCTTCGCTCAGCGTCGTCGGAGCGAAAGGGACGGGCATGCCTCTAGGACGGTCAGCCCCGACCGACGCCAGCCGATGGCCCTGGGGAGCGACAGCCAGAGTCACTGGACTCCATCAGTCCCATCTCCTACTTCATCAGGAAGCTGAAGCTGGATTTGAAGATGGCGTACCCCAGGTGAGTGTGGGGGTGGGGGGGGGGGGGTGGTTTGAACTTCGATCAATCAGGGTTGAGATCAATTCGCCGTGATCAAAGAGAAAACGGTCCTCTAATTATTTGATATGTTAACATCAATTCACCACAGCCCCCTGTATGAGAATAGATTATGTTGAGCTCCGAAAAAATAAACCAATATACAAACTGATGTCGTCATAGTTCCAATTACGCCACACACACCCTCCCACCCCCATCCCCTGCACACACCTTTCAAACGAGCATAATTTTATATATATATATATATATATATATATATTATATATATATATATATATATATATATATATATAATATATATATATAATATATATATATATAATATATATAGTACCCTCATCTTTATAGATTACATTAAAAAATTAAATGTTCTGTTACGTGGTACTTAGTGACAAGGTTCAGATTTCTTTTCTCCCTCCCGCCGCTGATTATGTAAAGATGTCAAATATGAACGAACCCCATGCCGTTTACTTAGCTTTAAGGTGTATAACTACCTCACGTCATAAATTTCAACGGAATCTAACTAATCCCACTCATTCCAATATTTTTAGAACGATATAACGTTGAATACAGGCAGCTAATCTAGAGCTTTTTTTTACAGGATTTTATTTTATTTTACTTGAGCCGTGCAAACCATTGTAATTTTTTTTAACACACAAACAAACACTTTAAAAACTAACCTGTTAATATTTCACAGATATCGATCCACGGCGATACAATAGATCAAACACCACTATGGAAATCTGGTATTGATTTTGAATAAAAGGATCATGTTGCAATACATTCTGATTCATCGAATCAATAACAACAACAAAATAACAACAAGTCAAAAAAATTAAATTTTGAAAAACAAAATATCAATATATTATGAGCGTAGCGGTCGTGAATTAACACCATACAAATGCCTAGGCTCCAAACACCATACAAATGCCTGGGTTCCACATAGGACAGATGAAGTAGAGTTCATATGTTTTTTAAGTTCGGAACTGGGGAAGGTGTGGTCGAACGGGTAGAGCGTTTGGCTGATCATCTCGAATTACGATACGACTGTACGACGTTCGTGAGCAGAGTTTCTTCCAGGCATCTCTTTGGGGGAGGGGGCAAAGCCCCCCCCCGAAAAATTTTTACCGCCCCCCGAACGAAATGAAATTTTATATAATTTATATAGAAAATATATACTTTTAACAGTGTCCGCCCCCCCCCCCCCCGAAGAAAGTCTAACCGCCCCCCCCCCGAAAATTTCAAGTGCTCCCCCCCCCCCCGGAGAAAAAAGTCTGGAAGAAACACTGTTCGTGAGTCCACTCAGCTCTGAAGGGTACCTGACTTACGTTGGGGAAAGGCGGCTGGGCATAGTGCTGACCACAGCATCGATTCATATTCCGAGGTTAAGAAACAAATAAACTCTACTTCATCTGCCCGGTGGATCGGTAGTCCTAAAGTTGAATCTTTACTACTTACTATAAATGCTTAGATTCTTCAGCTTCTATGTAAACATAAGAAGACACTCAAATTCCCCCCCCCCCACCCCTCCAAACACACGTTGATATTTTACCATATGTATGTGTCTTCCAAGACAGACCATCCAAAACTCTCTAAATTCTTACAATCCAAATCCAACATTTAAAATCATAAACACTATTTTGGCTCTCAATATCAAAGCTGCATTAGGCACACTAGTAGATCTCAACATTACCCTAACCCTAGCCATCATAGTTTTTCCTCATCCTCAGCCTGCTTATAAATTATATTAACCTTTCTATAACCCTAACCATCGCCCTAACCAATACCTGTATACGTTTATCCAAGTATCAAAGACACCGAGATTTAACCAACCAATGAAGAATTACTTCAAAGAACAACTACAACTATTGTGTTTATGGGCACGATCCACTATCTGTTTACAAGCTAGGGATAATATGTTAGTTAAGGGAGGGTAAAGCAAAGTTTCCCTTTTAAACCTGACGGTCTATGGGGCAAGTGAAGTAGAGTTCACTTGTTTCTGTGACCTCGGCATATGAGATATGTGGTCAGCATTATGCCCAGTCGCCTTTTACTTTCCCAAACGTGAGTTAGGTAACCCATCACAGTTGGGGAGGACTCAAGGACGGTCTACTGACTTGAACCCGGATTCGAACTCGAGACTTACGGGTTAGCAGTCCAGCTCTCTACCACTAGACCACTCCGTCCCATAAGGGAGGGTGGCGCCTCTCAATCAACTATTTATGAGTACATCTGAATATCTTAACGAAACTGGTTAAGTCAGTAGTTGAGAAACACCTTTTCAAAACTTCAAATTCCCGACATATTCAACATGTACGTTAAATAAATTACACCTCTATTTATATTACTACGTTGCATTTCAAATAGCATCGACACACCCTCCTACACCTACGTACACGAAAACGTCATCAAATCGCATTCAGCCACATTTTATTTTCGGTAACGACCACAACATTTATCAAAAGAGGATCGCGACCAATGAAATCTCGCTCATTCTCGACGCAAGGAACAAGCCGTAGGTACTCGATAACAAAGAACCGGCTACACGGAACCGGCAACCGTAAGTGCGCTGTTACGTAATGACCGAATGCTGTACCCGCAGTCAATGCCATACCCGTTTCCCACGCTTGATTGCGTTTCCAGTTCGCGGATCGCCATATTCTCCCTGCCTTCCCCCCGTTTCTCTTGGTTCGATCGCTAGCATCGCTCCAAGCAGTTCGTTGCTTAATTCAA